GGTCGCAAACGTTCCATGTCGCTGTGGGTTGAGTTCATCACCGCCAGCGGCTACTTGTCAGCCCGCAAGATCCGGTCCCGCTTCCAGACGCTGGTCGCCCAAGCAGTGGACAAAAGCCAGTACCGCGACTGCGTCAAGCTTATTCAAGACACAAGCGAGGTGAAGCTACGAATCAAGGACCGCTACGTCGTGCAAATAACGGCCGCTTTTCGCTGTGGCAACATATGGCCCCGCAGCGCGTCCCACTGGCCTCTGCCCGTCGCCACGTGGCCCAGTCCGGCCCTGGTGCATGAGGTAAAGCAAGAGGGCTGCGACTTACACAGCAAGGAAACGCCGAACCTCCAAGGCAAGCAGTCGGCAATGGAAGGCGACGCCTGGCTGATGAGCTTCAACCAGGCAGAGGACATTTTGCTGTCGCTCGGCTGCCGTCGCAAAAGTCTCAGCATCTTGAAGACATTACGCGACCGACATATGGACGTCGGACCTAGCAGCCCGATCACCACCTATATCCTGAAGACGCTGCTGCTGTTCGAATGTGAGAAGCACCCGCACGAGGCGGAGTGGGACGAGATTGCGCTAGGCGACCGCATCATCGGTGTCCTTTTGCAGATGGTCAGCTGCCTACAGTGTCGCAAGTGTCCACATTACTTCATTCCTTCACTGGACCTGCTCAAAGGTAAGCCGACCGTGCTGCTCGATCAGGCAGCAAAACAGGCGTGGCGACTGCTGCGGGAGTTGATCACGAATCCACGGGCCCTCGAGAATCTGTGAACAAATCATGGCCCGACCGACAAACAGTCCCAAAATCGCTGAGGAATGACAACCGGTGACCTGATTGCGCTCAAAGGTAAGTCCTCGCCTGCCATACTAACGTGTCCGGTCACTTACATCATTTTCGCCGGACTGAAAGCGATCGTTTTCCAGTGCTGCGGTTAGACAGATGCGAACAGTTCGTGGGCAGGATATTCAAGTCTGGGCAACAGCCCGGTCCTTTTACGTCGCCGCTTGACCATAGAGCAAAAAGCGACGCCAGCTTAGAGGATGCTTATTTTTTTTTTACATTCTCATCTAGTCATTTACGAGACATTATAGAAGACTGTTTATTAAGCTTATTATTACATCTATCATGAATATTATTCATCGCTGCTAACCGACTGTTGTGATCGCATTGTGATGCATGTAGAGCTTTTAGCATGAATTACGTTGCAATAAAACTTCACGCTATAATTTACGCCCGTCTGGTGGATTGGCTATCGCCACGTGATTGGAGCACAGGCACAGACACATGCAAGAGACAGAGACGACACCGCAAAGGTCGGCGACCATTACGGATATGACGGCGGAAGCCATCACACGATTTATTTATTAACTCACGTTAAGAATGCAATGACCATGATGATCGATAAATCGATAACGATCAACTGTTGTGTGGTGACCATGCCAACCGACAGGCCGGTAGTGGGTAGTGAACGGGAGGGAGATGGAGTGAAGGAAAGTAATTGCATCGACTAACGACATGTCACATCGACCGCGTACAACGTGCAACGACACGTACAGAAAGACCCGGGGCGAGACGACAGGGAGGAGCGAATCACCCTCTAGACCAATCATGTCCTCGCGCTGACTGTCAGATGAGCGACAAGCGACAAGTAACAGGTCGACGAAGTTCAGCGCAATGACAACCGGTTCGAGTACAGGTCTGAATGTGCACCGGAGGTGCAGGCATCAGGTCAACCGTAAACTTCAACACGCATGAAAAGCGCTGTCAACGAGGCAGGGGAGTCCTAGCGATGTCGAACATGATGACTAGCTGTCGTATATTCTTAAACAAGGTACGAACCGCTCCGACGTACACCTCACGATGAACAACGTAATTCAAAAGCATGTGACACGACACATGCGCTTGCTTCATGCAGCTCAGATTGGACAGAAACAAGTTGTTTGATTCTGAACTTTCGAGAGGTTCCTTATTAATTACCAATTGCCTTGAACAACGAATTCAATGGTCACCATGCCTGGTGTAACCAGTCTCAAAACGAATGGCAAGTCGGCCTACGAACGATAAGGACAGCATTGTGTTGTATGTCGTTAAGGTCATCACCCTGAGCCATTTCCATAAGCAGAACGTTACTGGTTTGTGAAGTCCGTTGTTTTCCAAGTTTTACAATGCTACTGCAATAAGCAAATATTCCTTTCTGAATAAACATCTGCCTCTACACAGATTCCTCTATGTTGCACATCGACCTTCTGGTCGACGTTCACCATTTCGCTTCGCCTTCCACACAAGAATTTCAAGGGTCTAGGAAAGTATTGCATATTCAGCCAATTTCAGTACCAGGCCAACCTCTTTTTCTTAATGTGAATGATAATTGAGGTCACTTGCATCCGGAAGAAAATTCAGAGTCATTCCTTACAAGACCCTGCTGCATAGCCCACATTAGATATCAATATCAACGCTTCTGTACGTACTTCCACCATCGTTCCGGTTCGTTACTTAGAACAACATTGTTTTGCCAGAGGCTACAGTCGGATTATCGTGGGAAGAGTAACTCTTTTCTCGGACAAAATATTAGACAGAGTTCCAAGAGCACTCAAGATTAAGGCGATCCTACTAATTACCTCTGGCTGTAGAATGCCATCTCTGGAGACGACGAAGCTAAAACACTTAAACTGGACATCTTCTTGAAGGGCTTCTCCTACTACTTGTAAGTCCGCCGTGTCTGAAGGATTTCTCATAACTGATTTACGGGCATTCGCAGCTGTTTACGAGGAAGTCGTCAGGTGACAGAGACTGCACCACTTACTACTCATCAGGAGAATATCATCTGCTTATAGTGCAAGTCGATAAGTATGTAACCGGATATCTTGAGTAGTGCGTTACTTTTAAAACGAGACACTAGTCTTTGCCAGGGTGAGCATTGATTCAAAGAACAAAGTCGAAGGCAAAAGGCACAACTCCCTGACGAATTCCACAGCTAATAAGGACCCGTTCAGATAGCTCACCTTCCACTTTGAAAGCAGACAAAGTTGCTGCATACCT